ATGTGCAAGACATCCCCGCGTAGACCACAGTTCCGGAAACCCCTATCTCCGCCAGTCGGAATAAAGTGAGCAGTCCAAGCTGGGACCCATTACCAGTGCAGCAGAACATTGTAGGCTGCCTCAAGAGTGACTGTATTGAATGAGCATTTCACCACCATCCCCCAGGCCTTACGCCAATCCTCCGCCCAATTGAGACACCCAGATCTCGCTCCTATTGAGAGACATAAGACAGGGGTGGTGAGGAAGACCTACTGTTAAGGGAGGCATAAATTACAGAAATGAGACCAGGGGACCCTGGGGAATGCTGACAAGCGTGCTCAAAGGGCGTTTTACAATATGGGTATGTAGAGGTATGATGGAGGGATAGGACCCAGTGGCGGAATTGCACATACCGATAATATTCCTGTGGCGGGACCCCCCTTGATTCTCGAAGAGACTCCCAAGATGGAAGTGTATGAGCGCTCAGAAAATCATGTACAATAACAAAGCCATGGGAGTTCCACCAAGAGAAAGAAGGGGGGTGTGCTAGGCCTGGTGGAAATAAAGGATTATGCGTAATCGGCAAAAGAGGTAGAAATGACTAAATCAAATTACCTGAATATTTTACAGAATCCCAGGTTCTTAAACTGTGAAGCATGATAGGGCTCAAATCTGGAGGGCGCAACTTAGGCGGGAGCCAAAGCAATGTAGTTAAGGAAAGCGGAGCACAGTTGGGTAATTCTAAGAGTACCCATAATGGGATATCTAACGTGGCATGAAGCATAGACAACTGGGAAATCTGAGCCACCAAGTAGTATCTAGAAACATGTGGAACTCCCAAACCTTCCTGTAATCTGAGTATACAGAGTGACTGGATTAGTTTTGATTTCAACAGGAGTAATCACTAGGGCACCATCAATATTACCTACTCACTAAGTTGCCAATATAGCAGTCTCTACAGGAGGTGCAAACATATATTGGCATCCTAACAACTACAGTATTGAATGGAAGGAATAAATTGGGCATTAAGGATATGATTAGAGGGGCAAATAGATTAATAGCCCTTTTTAGACCAGGGTGGCTAAATGGTTATCACTTCTGCCTGACAGTACTAGGGTTGTTGGTTCGAATCCCAACCACGGCACCACCTGCTTGTAGCTTGCATGTTCTCCCTGTGCCTGCGCGGGTTTCCTCCGGGGACTCCAGTTTCCTCCCACACTCCAAAAGACATGCTGGTAGGTTAATTAGATCCTGTCTAAATTGGCCCTAGTATGTGTATGTATGAATGTAAGTTAGGGACTTTAGATTGTACACCCCTTGAGGGTTAGGGACTGATGTGAATGTGCAATATATATGTGTAAAAGCGCTGTGTAAATTGACGGCAGTATATAAGTACCTGTAATAAATAAATAAGAATAATAATTTATTGTCCTTCAGACTTTAGGGCAGCCAGACTGTGGCCAGCGGGATTGGAATATTTCCTGGAATCAATGAGAGTACGTCACGTTTGGTATTAGAGGGAAGAATAGGGACTCATTGTTGGTGCCAGTTAGAGAACTGGAGTTCCATTGTTGTCAGTTGGCAGAATAGTCTTGTATCAGTGCAAGGAAAAGTGTCCCAAGGACCGAATAAAACAATCACAGGGCCTCAGTTTGGAAACCACAGTCTGTGCAAGTATGTCCAGTGACCTCCAAAGGGATCATCTCTCCTATGCCCCTTCACTTGCCCCAGTGACATTTTAGTGACTATGCCTACTGCACTTTGCAATTACTCAACCTAGAACGGTCTTCAAATACTCTCCAGAAGAAGTGGAGTTCATCTGAGAATAGTGTTGAACTGCAGATCCTTAGTTCACCACATAACTAGCCAATAAGATATGTAGCCCTTGTGATAGTGGATTTACCAAATTAACATTAGAGCTGCTAGTAGGCCCTGGATGGGATGTGATGTATGATTGAGGCACTAAAATCATTTTATTTTGAAGCATACCTTTTTCATTCATTTTATCATCCATTGTTTAAAATATTAAATTGTTTAAAGTTTTATGTTCTGTGTAATGTTTGGTTGCTACAAGTCTGTTATACTCCGTCCCTCTTTTTGATAGAACTATCATGGAAACAGATGAAGCAATTTTGTTCTGGAATAATTTTTTCTTACTTTTTTTTTCATGTGACAGCTGCCGCTTAATCTCGTTGACATTGTTAGACGTTATGCAGAATTTGTTCATAGGAACAAAACCATGTTTGCTCTTCCAAAAGTAGCATTTGTTTTGTGTTAATTGTGCTCAGGCGTGTAGTCATTACAAGAGGAGTTTGCTGCTTTTATTAAAGCATGGCATTGTTAAGTAAAGGACTGAAAAGAGTGATATTATCTGATAATATTTATCTAACCATTCTACCATAAAAGCTGTGAGCTCATTCCTTTTGGTGGTTGTGTTGGCTGGCGATGCCTGCTTAAAGAAGCTGGTACAAAATAGAAAAGCTTCTTATAACTGTTGGCACCACTCTGCGCCTTTGAATAAGGGAAAATATTCTAATTCATCTGTACAGACCACAAACAAGGAACTCCCATGTTTCTAGTTAAAGTCTGTTGCCATGGAAAGCTTGTAATAGGTCTTGCTTGAATCAACCTCTTTAGGAGCTTAGGAAGCTATATGATGAAAACAACATAGTTTTACACATTGCCATGTCAGCCTACTATTAAATTGTATTTAGAAATGCCCAGATAATTTGAAGTGTATACACACACACACACACGTTAAACTCGAAAAATTAGAATATCATGCACAAATTCATTTATTTCACTAATCTAACTTAAAAGGTGAAACTAATATATGAGATAGGCTCATTACATGCAAAGCAAGATAGTTCAAGCTGTGATTTGTCATAATTGTGATGATGATGGCTTACAGCTCATGAAAACCCCAAATCCACAATCTCAGAATATTACATGCAATCAATAAAACAAGGATTGTACATAGAACAATATCGGACCTCTGAAAAGTATAAGCATGCGTATGTACTCAGTACTTGGTTTGGGATGCTTTTGCAGCAATTACTGCCTCAATGCGGCGTGGCATGGAAGCTATCAGCCTGTGGCACTGCTGAGGTGTTATGGTAGACCAGGATGCTTCAATAGCAGCCTTCAGCTTTTCTGCATTGTTTGGTCTCATGTCTCTCATCTTTCTTTTGGCAATGCCCCATAGATTCTCTATGGGGTTCAGGTCAGGCGAGTTTGCTGGCCAATCAAGCACAGTAATTTATTGAACCAGGTTTTGGTGCTTTTGGCAGTGTAGGCAGGTGCCAAGTCCTGCTGGAAAATGAAGTCAGCATCCCCATAAAGCTCGTCTGCGGAAGGAAGCATGAAGTGCTCCAAAATCTCCTGATAGACGGCTGCGTTGACCCTGGACTTAATGAAGCACAGTGGACCAACACCAGCAGATGACATGGCTCCCCAAATCAACACAGACTGTGGAAACTTCACACTGGACTTCAAGCATCTTGCATTGTGTGCCTCTCCATTCTTCCTTTATACTCTAGGTCCTTGGTTTCCAAATGAGATGCAAAAGTTGCTCTCATCAGAAAAGAGGACTTTGGACCACTGACAAACACACCAGGTCTGTTTTTCATTAGCCCAGGTAAGACGCTTCTGAAGTTGTTTCAGGAGCAGCTTGACAAGAGGAATACGACATTTGAAGCCCATGTCCAGGATCCATCTGTGTGTGTGTGGTGGCTCTTGATGCACTGACTCTAGCCTCTCCTTGTGAAAGTCCACTCCTTGTGAAAGTCCCCAACACTTTTGATTGGCTTTTTCCTGACAATCTTCTCCAGGCTGCAGCCATCCCTGCTGCTTGTGCACCTTTTTCTTCCACACTTTTCCCTTCCACATAACTTTCTATTCATGTGTTTTGATACAGCACTTTGGGAACATCCAACTTCTTTTGCAAATACCTTTTGAGGCTTTCCTCCTTATGGAGGGTGTCAATGATGGTTTTCTGCACAACTGTCAGGTCAGCAGTCTTTCCCATGATTGTGATTCCTACTGAACCAGACTGAGAGGCCATTTAAAGGCTCAGGAACCCTTTGCAGGTGTTATGGCTTAATTAGCCGATTAGAGTGGGACACTGAGCCGAGAATATTGCACCTTTTCACAATATTCTAATTTTCTGAGATTGTGGATTTGGGGTTTTCATGAGCTGTAAGCCATAATCATCACAATTATGACAAATCACAGCTTGAACTATCTTGTTTTGCATGTAATGAGTCTATCTCATATATTAGTTTCACCTTTTTAAGTTGAATTACTGAAATATATGAACTTTTGCACGATATTCTAATTTTTCGAGTTTCACCTGCGTGTGCGTGTGTGTATATATGTATGTATGTATGTGTGTGTGTGTATGTATGTATGTATGTATATATATATATATATATATATTATATATATATATATATATATATATATATATATTATATATACATACACACACACACACACACACTATATTGCCAAAAGTATTGGGACACCTGCCTTTGCACGCACATGAACTTTAATGGCATCCCAGTCTTAGTCCTTTGGTCCACCCTTTGCAGCTGTGACAGTTTCAACTCTTCTGGGAAGGCTGTCCACAAGGTTTAGGAGTTTGTCTATGGGGATGTTCCATTCATCCAGAATCTCATTTGTGAGGTTAGGCACTGATGTCAGACAGGAAGGCCTGGCTCGCAGTCTCTGCCCTAATTCCTCCCAAAGGTGTTCTATCGGGTTGAGGTCAGGACTCTGTGCAGGCCAGTCAAGTTCCTCCACCATAAACTCTCTCATCCATGTCTTTATGGACCTTGCTTTGTACACTGGTGTGCAGTCATGTTGGACCAGGAAGGGGCCATCCCCAAACTATTCCCACAAAGTTGGGAGCATGAAATTGTCCAAAATGTCTTGGTATGCTGGCGCCTTAAGAGTTCCCTTCACTGAAGCCCAACCCCTGAAAAACAACCCCACACCATAATCCCCCCCTCCACCAAACTTTACACTTGCCACAATGCAGTCAGGCAAGTACCATTCTCCTGGCAACTGCCAAACCCAGACACGTCCATCAAATTGCCAGACAGAGAAGTGTGATTGGTCACTCCAGAGAACGTCTCCACTGCTCTAGAGTCCAGTGGCGGTATGCTTTACAGCACTGCATCCGACGCTTTGCATTGCACTTGGTGATCTAAGGCATGGTTGCAGCTGCTTGGCCATGGAAACCCATTCTATGAAGCTCTCTATGCACTGTTGTGTTAATCTGAAGGCCACACAAAGTTTGGAGGTCTTTAGCTATTGACTCCGCAGACTGTTGTCGACTGACCCCGCTCTGTCATTTTACGTGACCTACCACTTCATGGCTGAGTTGCTGGAAAGCAAGGAAATTTCACAGATGGACTTATTGCACAGGTGGCAACCTATCACAATACCACACTTGAATTCACTGAGCTCCTGAGAGTGACCCATTCTTTCACAAATGTTTGTAGAAGCAGTCTGCATGACTAGGTGCTTGATTTTATACACCTGTGGGCCATGGAGGTGATTGGAACACTTGAATCCAATGATTTGGAGGGGTGTCCCAATACTTTTGGTATATAGTGTGTGTGTGTATGTGTGTGTGTGTGTGTATATATATATATGTGTGTGTGTGTGTGTGTGTACACACGCACACACTGTATATATGTACCTCTCTAAGAAAAATCAACTGGGAGCTATTGATTCTGTGTTTCCCATACTGCATAGTACCTGTACCTCGTGAAATTGAGCAGGTTTCCCCTTTTCTCTTTGAATCTAATATATAGCCTTTGAATTACAAAATGTCAGCTTCCCTTTAAAGTTATACTACAGACAATTTAAATAATATACCTGTTGTACTGTTGTGTGCACTGGTTTCCCTCCTCTTCTTGGGTCCCCCGCCAGCCCTCCTGCCGAGTGCCCCCAGAGAAGCAGCTTGCTATGGGGCACCCAAGCAAGCTAACTCCTGAGCTGCTGTTTTGCGTGTCCATTCACACACAGAGCCGCGTCTTGGCCTGCCCCCACTCTCTCCTCATTAGCTCCCTGGCTGTGATTGACAGCAGTGAGAGCCATTGGGGAGGGAGAGTCCCCGGAGAGCCAAGGCTCTCGTGCCCACTGCTGGACTGCAGTGGGGCTCAGGTAAGTAAGGTAGGCTGGGCGGGCTGCTGCACACATAAGGTTTTTTAACTTTATGTATAGAATGCATGTAGGTGAAAAATAAATCTTGAGCCTTTACAACCACTTTAGGCTTTCACTTCATAACAGATTCCATGTAACTTTCACCCATTTGTTTTGCTGTTAGCAGCCCATTAAGGAGAGCTATGTTCATCTCCACTTCAGAAAGGCAATGTGCTGAGACTCCCTCTCTGGCTGATTATATCTTTTGGTTGGTCTTCTTCCGGGTTTATTTATTTACTGAAGGTATTTATTTACTGCAGGTATTTATACAGCGCCATCAGTTTACGCAGCACTTTACATATTTATCATACATTCACATCAGTCCCTGTCATCGAGGAGGCTTACAGTCTAAGGTCTCTAACCCACATATACACATACTAGGGCCAATTTAGACAGGAGCCAAATAATCTACCAGCATGTTTTCGGAGTGTCAGAGGAAACCAGAATACCTGGAGAAAACCCACGCAGGAACAGAGAACATGCAAACTCTATGCAGATAGTGCCATGTGCTGCCAAGCACAAGCGCTAACAACTTTGTCACGGACTGCCCAGATTAGGTTCCCAATCTTTTTGATTGGGCTCAATGTCTCAATTAAAATGTAAGATAAAAGTTTCCTTATTTCATACTATGTAAATGTTTCAGGGTAAAGCTGCAGAACAGGTCAGTAGAGATCTATCTGCTTATTCTTGAGTACCACCTCTCCCTGGAGGTGTTTCCAGGCCAGCTGGGAGATGTAAGCCTGCCACATTTCCTGGTCTGGATATCTTTTGGGACCTCTTCCTTGTCTGATGTACCTTATACAGGAGATACTAACCTGAAAAGGCATGTTATCAGGAGTAGCAGTTGCTGGTGCTAAAATACAAGCATATCCTGCCTAGCATGTGTCTGACAGGGAATTGCCCTAGAACCAGAAAATTAAAGACAAAAGTATGATGGCTGAGCTCAACTGAAAAATTGTACTTGGTGCAAATCTGTGGTTCCATTCTCAGGCCAGGCTGTAGGGTTTGGGTGAAATGCTATATAAGATTTGAGCAGAAGAAGATCTGTGTTAAACAGACTAGAAGAAACATTTGCCTGAGTCTGTTAGCTGAATCCGTTTTCTACTTCTCTAGCACAGATTGCTTCTTTCCTCTGCCATAAAAATGTATTTACAGATTTTGTAGAGAAATATGTGTGTACTCTGAAGCTTGATGTGCTAGTACAAAGGAGTCTGAATAATGAATACCATGATCCAGAAATACAGTGGGGCAAAAAAGTATTTAGTCAGCCGACCAATCGTGCAAGTTCTCCCACTTAATAAGATAAAAGAGGCCTGTAATTGGCATCATAGGTAGACCTCAACTATGAGAGACAAAATGAGAAAACAAATCCAGACAATCACATTGGCTGATTTGGAAAGAATTTATTTGCAAATTATGGTGGAAAATAAGTATTTGGTCACCTACAAACAAGCAAGATTTCTGGCTCTCACAGACCTGTACCTTCTTTAAGAGGCTCCTCTGTCCTGCACTCATTACCTGTATCAATGGCACCTGTTTGAACTTGTTATCAGTATAAAAGACACCTGTCCACAACCTCAAACAGTCACACTCCAAACTCCACTATGGTGAAGACCAAAGAGCTGTCGAAGGCCACCAGAAACATAATTGTAGACCTGCACCAGGCTGGGAAGACTGAATCTGCAATAGGCAAGCAGCTTGGTGTGAACAAATCAACTGTGGGAGCAATAATTAGAAAATGGAAGAAATACAAGACCACTGATAATCTCCCTCGATCTGGGGCTCCACGCAAGATCTCACCCCGTGGGGTCAAAATGATCACAAGAACGGTGAGCAAAAATCCCAGGACTACACGGGGGGACCTAGTGAATGACCTGCAGAGAGCTGGGACCAATGTAACAAAGGCTACCATCAGTAACACACTATGCCGCCAGGGACTCAAATCCTGCAGTGCCAGACGTGTCCCCCTGCTTAAGCCAGTACATGTCTGGGTCCGTCTGAAGTTTGCTAAAGAGCATTTGGATGATCCAGAAGAAGATTGGGAGAATGTCATATGGTCAGATGAACCCAAAATAGAACTGTTTGGTAGAAACACAACTCGTCCTGTTTGGAGGAGAGAGAATGCTGAGTTGCATCCAAAGAACACCATACCTACTGTGAAGCATGGGGGGTGGCAACATCATGCTTTGGGGCTGTTTCTCCACAAAGGGACCAGGACGACTGATCCATGTACAGGACAGAATGAATGGGGCCATGTATCGTGAGATTTTGAGTGCAAACCTCCTTCCATCAGCAAGGGCATTGAAGATGAAACGTGGCTGGGTCTTCCAACATGACAATGATCCCAAACATACCGCCTGGGTAACGAAGGAGTGGCTTCGTAAGAAGCATTTCAAGGTCCTGGAGTGGCCTAGCCAGTCTCCAGATCTCAACCCCAGCGACAGCCCCAAAACATCACTGCTCTAGAGGAGATCTGCATGGAGGAATGGGCCAACATACCAGCAACAATGTGTGCCAACCTTGTGAAGACTTACAGGAAACGTTTGACCTCTGTCATTGCCAACAAAGGATATATAACAAAGTATTGAGATGAACTTTTCATATTGACCAAATACTTATTTTCCACCATAATTTGCAAATACATTCTTTCCAAATCAGCCAATGTGATTGTCTGGATTTTTTTTCTCATTTTGTCTCTCATAGTTGAGGTCTACCTATGATGCCAATTACAGGTCTCTCTCATCTTTTTAAGTGGGAGAACTTGCACATTTGGTGGCTGACTAAATACTTTTTTGCCCCACTGTATATATAAAGAGACTGCGAACAAGAATAGCCCCCTGATCGTATTCAAAGTATTTTTCTCATATTATATCTTTAAAGAACCTTCATTTACTGATTTGTACCTTTATCACATGCATTATGTCTTCCAGGCTGCAGAATCCGGCATAGTGAAGGTGAAGAATATAGCTGCACGGAACACTGACATACTGACAGGTTATTATTATGATGTTTACTTCTCTAGCTAAGACGCTTGATTTCATATGTGTACAGAATTTATATTAAATTGCGCACCTATAAATGTATTGCATTCCATTACTGTTTATAAACATAGCTTCTCTCGCTCATATTTCTCTCTCTAAAAGAACCCCATGTTTTTCCTTTTTCTCATCTGCGGCACCTTGGTTTGAATAAATAGGGCAAAGCTTAGTGTCTGGAGGGGTCAGGGCTTATATTTTCAGGCCACTTTTCTCATCTTTTTAAAAAAATATATTTTCAGGAAATATGTCTACATTTGCATAAATTAGCCTTACACAAAACCATTCCATATCCAGACTGAGCAGTGCCAGAGGTCAGTTTAATAATTCCAGTACATGTACAGTGGGTTAAGCATCCAGACAAAACAGCACTCTTGCATAGATAATCAGATGCAGTAGCTTGCGGTCCTGACAATGCTGAGGGGAGAAGCAATTTGTATTGCAGCTGTATACCGTTGTTGGGGAACTAGGGCAAGATGCATGTAAACAACAGGATCGTTGGGTAATTTAGTGCTTTTTCCATAATAATAATTTGAAAGAGCATATTTTCCTTGCGTAATGATTTTATAGTTTCTTTACACCTGTTTAAGACTTCTATTAAAAGGATTTTAATAATGATTGATTTATCTTTTCTCATCCTTCCTGAAGCTTTGAAGGAGAATAGTTCTGAAGTAGTTCAACCATTTCTCATGGGATGCGGAACGAAAGAACCGAAAATCACTCAGCTTTGCCTTGCTGCTATCCAGCGGCTCATGTCACATGAAGTGGTATCTGAGGTATAGTGAATAAAGACTTTCATTGTGCTTTTATTTACTTTTACTTTAAATAAGAACTCCAGGAATTTATGCAATTTTAAAAATGTGCTGGCCTATAAGGGGTTAGGTCCAGTGAGTTTTATTTCACCTTGTGGACTTATCTCTTTTATCTGTAATTTACACTTTTACAGTGTGCCAGGGTTATAGTTATCACTATAATTCCGGCACTCCCACACTGGATCTTTGGGTCATTTGCAGCCACTTTGCCTGTTCCTCCTCTCTTTTTGTTCAGTCAAGGAACACTTTGATTAATGTGAACCCATTCCCAAAATACAAAGTATGCTATGAATGGACAGCAGATGGGCAAGCAGAGCGGCTGCTGTGTAGCAGGGTCAAATCTGCTATCAGAGTGGTGGAAGTATAGCTATGTTACAGTGTAAATTTCTAATAAAACCACGAGGTGGCTTACACCTTCTTGGACGTAACCCCTATAAGTCAGAACATTCCTGCAGTTCTTTAAATTTAAACTACAGTTTAACTGAAAGTGAAGCCTTGAGATGCATATAGGCAGCACAGCCCACCTGCTATATCATTCGCCTTTTAATCCAGGTAAGAAATAAAATATGATTCATATTTAGCATATTTCTCACAGAGAAGGGCTGCAGCCTCCTGTCAGTCGTTTTTTTTGCTGTGTTACCCTCTTCCACACTCTGGTGTGTATGTTGGTGAGATAGGATGGTACTGGAATACATATCCATAGGCTTTGGTTCAGGGCTAGTTATAAGAAAATATTACTAGATGTTTTACAGCATTAACAATTGAAATGACCAACTGTAGAGAGCAAGTGCCAGGATAAAATTGTATAGCCACTCAGAATGTTGCCTGTGACACCTTTATCAGTTTCAGTGCAACATTTTTAATTTTTGACTTGGTTATTAATAAAAACCAATCATGGAATGCAGATTGCTGTTTAATATCTTTATGTATCTTTTAAGGCTGCTGCGGGGAATATCATCAACATGTTATGGCAGCTTATGGAAAATGGGCTAGAGGAACTGAAGCTGCTACAGACGGTTTTGGTACTTCTGACAACTAATACAGTGGTCCATGATGATGCTCTGTCAAAGGTAAATATGTTCAGTAAGCCAATCTTGTGTTTTCTTCAGTGATGCTTATATTGCCTGTTTTCCATGTCATATCTTCCTATATCATATGTATGTATTCTTGAAGACATTGTACACTTTCAAATGTTTTTGTTATTTGACCTAGGTATTGGTGTAATTATAATCCCTGTATAGTTTGTTTTACCTTGTAATGATTGGCTTACATTTTCCAGCTGCAGTTTGTAGTGTCATGGCTGATCAATTCCCCTATGTCCTTGTATTGCAGCAGCTAGCCTGTCTCTATTCACTAAAGAGACAAGGCACTTTACTTTTCCGAGTCACACAATGTCCAGTGCTTGACTCTACTATTCCTCATTTCAGAGTAAAAAATGTTGAAGTGTAAATGATGTGAAATACTACATGGTAGGCTCTGTTAATTGATCTGCCTGTTTTTGTCTGTGTCAGATCTAATTTCTATGTAGCTCTCACCTGCAAAGCACTATACTGATAGATCTAGCGACTGTGGCATATGCAGTTTCTTCAGAGGAAATGTTGGTTCTCAGACTACAGACAAAGGTCAATGACCTGTGCAGTGCCATACAGCATGCCTTATGTTTGAACACAAACAGAAAAACAAAGGAGTGTAAAGATGTACTCTACTATAGGCTATGTACAGGCCAACAAATGACACAATGAAACTACATGATCAATGCACATCATATGCTGGTGAAAAACACAAGGTGCAGGCAGGAAGGTTTATGTCTTTAAAACACAGCTTTGCCTTGACAGTATACCTGTATAATATACATTATCTTCATAGCCATAACTCTGGTAGAGAATCCTGGGTTATTCATAAGAGAGACAGCAATTCAGGTTAAGCAGTGTAAATTGAAAGTAGAATAATAAAGCTTGCCTAAGATTCTGCACTGTTTGTCTTTTTCAAAGCTTAGTAACAATCATAATATGTTTTCAGGCAATTGTCCTTTGCTTCAGACTGCACTTCACAAAAGACAACATAACGAATAACACAGCGGCAGCAACTGTACGACAAGTAGTTACCGTGGTATTTGAGAGGATGGTGGCAGAAGATGAAAGGCATAAAGGTAAAGCTAGAAAAGAAACTGATGTATAAAATAAAAAAAACAATAATCCTGAATATTGTTAGAATGCTTCTTGTTCTCCTTGGAGGATTCTTCCACTAAGTGAAGATACAGCTTGTTACCTGTAAATGGATAAAGTGGCACTTTGAGCTTCAGGATCAGTTCTGTATGTATTGTGCTCTATTATTGCAGGGTTGTAATTACAAAATGAATGCTGGTGACAGGGCCCTTTTAACATAGTGAGATTTTAGTTTCAAAGAATTGGTGCGTAAGAATTTGCACTTTTATTGACTAAAATCACCAGGTTTTTCCTTAGTGTTCATCAAAATTAGTGCTGGAAGAAGACAGAATAGTAGTTGAGAAGAATAGATAATTAGAGGCCACCTAGTACCTGTTTTGGAACAATAATTAAAGAAGCACTGCACTAGAATAAAGGTTCAGTACTTTGTACTCCTGATTGTTATGCTTCCCATTTTATTCAACCGTTGTTGGATTTCTGCTCTGCTGAAGAAAGAAGTATTTAATGGTCCATTAGTAGAATGCCATTAGCCCAAGGTAGCAGGTTGACACCACTGCTAAATGACAGTGCAGAGATGCACAATATTTTCAATATATTTATACTTTAATGGAAGCACTTGAAAGGCATGTGTTTATTGTGTTTATGCAGGTGTTTATGGTGCTTCTATTTAAAAGTCTATGGGACTTAGGCCTGTTATTCTGCGCTCATAAGTTGTGTGTGAAAACGTGTACAAACACACAAAAATAAGCATCTAATTCACCTGACTGCCCACATGATCAAGTGTAAATAGGGGCTAAAGTTGCATGGAACACATAAGGACAAGCAAATCAAAGCATAACTACTTATGTCAACAGGTTGAGGTGGAAAAATTCAGAATGATTTTGACATAAGTTTAAGATCATTTGGAATCCTTGCAGGTGCAACTGCCCTGCATTTCACCCGCTTCAGCTAATTTAGCCATCCTATAGACTTGTGTGGGGAGTAAAGCATTTTTGAAGTGAATAAAAGCCTGTCAACACAAGATTTGCAGACCTTTTTCCAAATGCAAGCAAGTACAAACAAATGAGTTTATGTTTACTAGATAATGTAGTATGTTAAATTGTATCTAGACCAAAAACAAAATTATAATATATTGCAGCTTTCCAGTCAAAAGTTTTGTTGGCTTCATTAGTTTTCTTTTTTCCCCCAGGCTGTGTTCCTTTTAGTGTCACCTGGAGATTATATGAGTAACACAATTCCTGTCCCTTCGTGGCTGGACAATTTCTTCATTGTATCTATAAAAGGAACCATGGTTGTCACCACGGGTGGACTTCAGCCATGTCTGCCTTTTTATTCATCTTTATTGCATGGTAGATTGATAGCATTAGTAGTTTGCACAAGAAACATAAGGATGTTTGTGCTTTCAGTTAAGCTCCCAGGACATGACAAGAACACTGCAAAATCAACAGGTATTTTCTGTACTTGCTGAAGATGTTCTTAACCTGAAAAATGAAAATTAATGCAGCTACCATATCTAAAGACTGGTAAGCTGCAGTATATAAAATGTTGGTTTAGATATACCTTGATTTTAACTAGGTTTCTTACTGCTCTGCTCTGTCAGTTTATGTGGACCTCCATGAATTTGCCCATGTACTTCTGTGAACATACTTGATCATGTCTCTGTGAATTATATGTGACCCACAAGGCCAGATGCTCAGCTTGTAGTGGGAGTTTAAGACCTCATCTTTCACGATTATGTGTTAAGGGATCCTGTTCATCATTTCTATGTAATAAAAGCCAAATGTGACCTATGTATTTTGGTAATTTTGCTGAAATGAATGTAGATATTCTGGTAAAACATAAGGATATTTGTTAGTGTGTGAAAGATTTAATTCTGTCTCTTTATTGTATGCAGATGTTGTGGAGCAACCTGTGCCTGTCACTGGAAACAGTAATAGGAGATCTGTCAGCACTCTTAAGCCATGTGCTAAAGATGCATACATGCTCTTTCAGGTATAAGAATATGCAGATTGCTGTATTTCTATGATGGACTACTGCAGTAGTTGACATGTATTTATGATATTTTGCTAGCTCTGTTGGTCTTGCTTTAGAAAATAAAAATTCAATTGCATGAATAAATGCACTATGCCATGGTGCCTGCCCATTTAAGTTTGTGGGTCCAGCTGTGTAAGTAGATGTATACATAAAATGTATTGCTTTGTTAGCTCTCTTTTAACTGAGAAGATACTTCTTGGAATGGATGATAGCTTTTATTTCTTAGGTCTCATGCTCACAGACATTTGCAGGCATTTTTTCTATGCCTAGGGTCAAATTCCTGGCACTTTCCTGCACCTGATGATCCTGAAACATTTGTGTTCAGACCCCCTTTACTTTTTTCAATTTTGTTACGTTGCAGCCTGAAAACTACAGTTGTTTACATTCATTACGTAATGACAAAGTGAAAACAGAGTTTTAGAAATGTCGGTGACTTTATTACTAAGAAAAAAACTGAAATACCACATGTACTTAAGTGTTCAGACCCTTTACTTTGTTGAAGCACCTTGGTAGCAATTAGAGCCTTGAGTCTTTTTGGGTATGACGTGACAAGGTTTTGTACACCTGGGCTGGGGGATTTGTTGCCATTCTTTTTTGCAGATCCTCTAAATCTCAATCAGGTTTGATGGGGAACATCAGTGCAAACCATTTTCAGGTCTCTCCAGATATGTTCAATAGGGTTCAAGTCAGGTCTCTGGCTGAGCCACTCTGGGACATTCAAAGAGTTGTTCCTAAGCCACCTTGTTGTTGTCTTGGCTGTGTGCTTAGGATCATTGTCATGTTAGAAGGTGAACCTTTGGTCCAGTCTGAGGTCCTAAGCGCTGTGGAACAGGTTTTCATTGAGGATATCTCTCCACTTTGCTCCATTCAGCTTTCTTTCAACCCTGACCAGTCTCCCAGTCATTGTTGCTGAAAAACACATCCACAGCATGATGTTGCCACCACCATGCTTCACTGTTGAGTATATGCCAGATGATGAGCAGTACCTGGTTTCCTCGAGGCCTAATGTTTAGAATTGGGGCCAAATAGTTCAATCTTGGTTTCATCAGACCAGAAAATCTTGTTCCTCACAGTCTGAGAGTTTTTCGGGTGCATTTTTGCAAACCCCAGGTGGGCTTTCATGTATTTTGCATTGAGGAGAGGCTTCCGTCCAGCCACTTTGCCATAAAGCCCATTCTCCCCCGATTGCTCAGTTTGGCCGGGCGACCTTCTCCTGGAAGAATCCTGGTTGTGCTAAACTTCTTCCATTTGAAAATCATGGAGGCCACTGTGCTCTTGGGAACCTTCAGTGCTGCAGAATTTTTTGTAGCCTTTTCCAGATCTGTGCATTGCAATGATCCTGTCTCTGAGCTCTGCAAGCAGTTCCTTTGTCCTCATGGATTTTTTTCTCTGATACAGTATGCATTGTCAGCTTTTTTGGCCTTTTATAGAGAAGTGTGTGCCTTTCCAAATCATGTCCAATCAATTTAATTTACCACAGGTGGACTCCGTGAAAGGTGTAGAAACATCTCAGCAATGATCAAGAGAATAGTGTTGTTGCAAAGGCCCTGAATACTTATACCAATGTGATATTTCAGTTTTTCCTTCTTAATAAACTTACAGTAATTTCTAAAATGTTGTTTTCACTTTGTCATTATGGGATACTGAGTGTATATTAATGAAAAAAATTAATTTAAACATAACAATTGAAACAAACATAAAATTGAAAAAAAGTGAAGGAGGTCTGAATACTTTATGAATCCACTGTATGCCATACCTGTGTATGCAGGTAAACACTGCTGAACAAACTAATCAGCAATTACACAACTAGGGCCGCCGTGTACATCCATTCGCTTGTATGGCAGGCTGTATGCACCAGCTGTGACTTTTCAGGTATGGAAAAGTACCAGGAATTTTCCACTAAGCATATAAAATGACTGTAAGCGTTGTTGTGCATGAGGCCTAACTAGAAAAATATTTCTAGTACAACGTGGCTGCTACTACCAAATCATAATATTATTATTCTCCTTTCTTTCCATTGGATATAACATACACTTCTCAAAAAAATTTAAGGAACACTTAAACAGTATAGCATCAAGTCAGGTAAACTCCTGGAATATTGATCTCGTCAGTTAAGTAGCAGAGGGGGTTGTTAATCCGTTTCAGTTGCTTTGGTGTTAATTAAATTAACAGGTGCACTAGATGGGCAACAAGGAGATAACCCCCACAACAGGAATGGTTTTACAGGTGGAGACTACTAACATTTTTTTCCCTACTCATGTTTTCTGACTATTTTTCACTAGTTTTGAATTTGACTATTGTCAGTGTCACTACTGGTAGCATGAGGCGATGCCTGGACCCTACAGAGGTTGCATAGGCAGTCCAACTCCTCCAGGATGGCACATCAATACGTGCCATTGCCAGAAGGTTTGTTACTCCAGGAGAGCTGGACAGGACCTCAGAATGTCCTTAACCCATCAGCATGACCGGTATCTGCTCCTTTGTGCAAGGAGAAACAGGACGAGCACTGCCAGAGCCCTCTACTGGGCTCTGTGATCACTGCCCGACACCATAGTGCTTGATTGGCATTTGCCAATGAACATCAGAATTGGCAGGTCCACCACAGGCACCCTGTGCTTTTCACAGATGAGAACAGGTTCACCCTGAGCACAGACGTGAAAGGGTCTGGAGACGCCATGGAGAACGTTATGCTGCCTGTAACATCGTTCAGCATGACCGTTTTGGTGGGTCAGTGATGGTTTGGGGAGGCAAATCCATGGAGGGACACACAGACCTCTTCAGGTTAGATCAGCCTTTCTCAACCAGGGTGCCTTGAGGTTTCTTCAGGGGTGACTTGGCAAAATGTCTAAAACTTGTATACAGCCCAGTGGGTGGAACAAGCTTGTCTTTTAGTTATACAAAGCCACATGTTTTCATTGTGCACCATTACGACCTTCTAGTCACCGCTGGCCTGACAACCAATGACATCATCAGTTGATAAGGAGGATGTCAGCTGTGTGCGCATCATCCTTGTTTGACCCTCCCCTTCCCCTCTCCATCAGTGCTGGGGTCACATTAGCTCAGTGGTGGAGAAAAACTGAGGGAGAAGAGAAACACTGAAATACTACCAAGTACCAGTGTGCAAAAGTGTATTTGCTTTGGAAGAATAAATCACCTCTAATGTTGGGTGTCCTACATGTGTGGATTTTGCTGCGTTATATAAAACTATTAGAATAGTTTTTCACATTTTAGAATTGGATGCCCTTTTAAAATTATGGACAGTCCTGAGGCACCCCATTTTAGAATGGGGTGCCTCAAGACTGTTCATAATTTTAAAAGGTGCCTTGGGACTGTCCATAATTTTAAAGGGTGCCTTGACTGAAAAAGGTTGAGAAACACTGGGCTAGACAATGGCATTTTGACTGCCATTAGGTATTGGGTTGAAATCCTTGGACCCATTGTCAGACCCTATGCTGGTGCAGTGGGTCCTGGGTTCCTCCTGGTGCACTACAATGCCCGGCCTCGTGGCAAGAATATGCAGGCAGTTTCTGGAGGATGAAGGAATTGATACCATTGAATGGCCCCCACCCTTGCCTGACCTAAATCCAATAGAACACCTCTGGGATATCATGTTTCGGTCCATCCGTTGTTGCTAGGATGCACCTCAGACTGTCCAGAAGCTCAGTGATACCCTGGTCCAGATTTGGAAGGAATTACACCAGGACACCATGGGGTTTATTTACTAAAGCTGGAGAGTCCAAAATCAGACTCCCTTCTGCATAGAAACCAATCAGCTTCTAACCTCAGCTTGTTCAATGAAGCTTTGGCAATGAAACCTGGAAGCTGATTGGTTTCTATGCAGAAGGGAGTCTGATTTTGGACTCTCCAGCTTTAGTAAATAAACCCCCATCTGTTGTCTCATTAGGAACATGCCCCGACTACCGAGTACCATTTTGAGTTGCTGCAATGAAATTTCAGCAAAATGGACTTTGATTTTTTGGGTGTTTTTTGATTCCGTTCTCTGTATGTTGATCATTTTCATTTCCATCAAAAACGATGGGGCATCCTTACGTTCCCAACACATTACCCAGTCCATATCAGTATAGATATCCAGCATGATATTTTTACCCATTGATATCTGATGTATTTACAAAATGTTCCTTTAGTTTTTTGAGCAGTTTACAGTTAATAAAATATTTTTATCTCTCTCATATAATTTTTTAAAATAACTATAATATGGCAGTTAATTGTCAAAAATTAAAGAACTGTTTGCGACAGTTTGTGCTGCCTCATAGCAGCCAATCAGATCCCAGCCTGAACAGTAATAATAAGAGTGTAAGGTTGAATCTGACTGGTCATTGTCAGGCACTTCACCCATCAGGCAGTTTGATAAACAAGGTGCAGTCAGAAAAATTACATTCTTCTGTTTAGAAAGCAAAGGGGCAACAGATCATTGTGTGTATGGGTTTATTAATGATTATTGTAAAAGTCTGTCTTTGGACTGTGAAGTTATGATAACCAAAAAAAACATTTTATATTGTATCTAAATTTAGTGTAAAATAGGTATTTTCTAAAAGCAGAACCTTCCATTACCATTTTTTCCATTGGCAAGCATTTAGGTAAATTTTGTATTATGCTTGTGGCTGCTTTTAAGCTATGGTGCAGTGGCAAAAAGCAGTTCCAACCCAGGTATGTTCTGGTACAGCTCATACAGAGTATAATATTTCACTGGAATTAACTGTGTGTGCATTATTCTCTAGCTTTATTTTTTTTTTACCTGTAATCAGTCCTTTTGATCAAACTAAGTACAGGTTTGTCTGGATATGTCTTATGGTACCTACAGACATAAAAAAAAATTTCCCCATTCCAGATTGTTACAGTCAGATTAAGGAAGGTTTGTATGTTTGTAGACATTTCCATAATTCCAGCTGATTCTCACTGACAAGGTCTGCTTGAGGGAAGGTTAATAGGCCAGGATGGATTTTCCTAGCCGTTCACTATTGTTTCCACAAAGACAAACTGGCGCCCCCATCCCTTTTCTCTATAGGCAAAAGCATACAGGTTTCACCGAATGAGAACTTTTATGTTTGTATGATGATCTTCTATTAGAAAGATTGTTCGGCAACGAAGTCGCGTATACACTGCCATCTGCTGTTTGTAAGCAGCTTTAGAAACCATAGACTTTCTATTCATCCAGTATTGATGATTTTTTTTAATAAATAGACAGCATGTCTAAAAAATACAGTGTAGAAGATCTGAGATTGGTATGTGATGTTTCCACTGTACCCCTTTAAAAGTGCCAGCATGTAACAGATGCTGACTCAGAGCTTTGTCCTACTCATGTGATATCATTTTTTTTTTTTTTTTCCCCAAAAAAAAACGTTTATTGATGAAGTGCAAAATGATACACAAGACATGCAAATGATGCATAAATGAGACAATTGACAATGCATACAACGAAAAAACAAGAAATCGAATGCAAAAAATATATGCAACGTTGTTATACTAGGCTACGACAAGGATATGCTTGTAGTAATCAGGCGTTATTGTAATGCGATTTGAAATGTTGCCGCGTTGAACCTCCTATACATGTACTTCGCAGTGCAGAGCTGTAGAGGGAGGGTAGAAAAACGCGGCACCCGTGCTCAAGGCAAAGCTATAAGGTCATGACAATAGAAGTAACTGAAAGCAGACTTTAATTGTCGTAAGGGCCGCTGATGAAAGTAGCGAGAGTATGATATTAACATGCCTAGTGTTCTCTTGAGTATGATCCAAATCTATCAGAGCATGTATCAAAAGGGAGAAAATAGAGAAAAAGAGAGAGAAAAGAAGAAGAACAGAGAAAGAGAAAAAAAGGGGGGGGGGGAGGGGAAGGGGAGGGGAAAGGGGGGGGGAAGGGAACGCAGAGGAGGGGTGACGTAAAAAAAAGGGGGGGGGGGGGGAACGAGCGGAGTATGTTATATCGGCAATACCGTGGGTTAAGCATGGATGAGGTCAAGAATTAAACTATCACCACAGTCACATAGGTGGGGATAAAACACTGAGGGGGAGATCAATGCCTACCGTAAGATCTAGTGTAATGGAGTATCACCAGCAGGAGAACTGAACTAAATCAGACAGATTGCTCCATGAGGGACTGATATGTAGGGGTAGTTATGAAGTGAGTCCAGCAGGCCCAGATATGGGAGAATTTAGTAGGGGTGTCAAGTGCCGTTGCAATCAGTTCCTCCATTTACGCCATTTTACCCACATGGGTAAGCCAGTCACTTATGGAGGGGGGGGGGGGGCGAGTGGAGCCCCATAGAACGGGAAGACAGAGTCTGGCTGCGTTGACCATTTGCATGGCTAAAGATTTAAAGTATTGTCCCCGTGATATCAGTTTAAACTGTGTGCTCACAAAGAATCATTCTGTAGCTCTTAAAGAAGAATGTGTGAATATTATTTTACACATATCTGGGATTTTTAGTATTTGTTATAACAGCGTGTACAAGGGGTTTTTTTTTTTTTTTTCAAAGGGGCTGGTCTTTAGAAACGGCTGGTGGTTTTTTAATTTTTGTAATATGCGAATACAGTATAACACAAGTATAACAACACAAGCACAAGTAGAAACAAGATATATTGGTAACTGGTTTAATTTTTAGAGCTTTTATATATAAAAACATAATTAAGGTCACGTCTATCTTTAAAGTCCATTTGCAGGCAAACTACTAATATACATTTGAAAAACATATGTGAAATGTTTTTCCTTCCAAGCATTTTGGCATTGTGTTCAGACAGTCTTGTAAACCAGACACACCAGAAAGCTGTTAAAAAGGTAAGCCACCCCACATGTGCTGGTTGGACAATGAATTGCTTTATCTTTTTAATCTCTGGCTACTTTGAATTTTGAATGTTCACAGAGTAATGGAACGTTTTTTAGTTATGATATATCTTCTTGTATGCAAACTATATGTTTTTGTGTTTTTTCAGGATCTTTGTCAGCTGGTTAATGCTGATGCTCCCTATTGGCTGGTGGGAATGACTGAAATGACACGAACATTTGGTCTGGAACTTCTGGAATCAGTCCTTAATGATTTTCCGCAGGTTTTCTTACAGGTAAGTCTGGAGTGTTTAAAACGTACAAAGTTCAGAGGTAATATTTGTGAAAAAGTTGTAATTACCATAACTGGTAAAGTCATCATGTGATAACAGAATGCACCATTTTAGGTGACCATTTACTGACCTAAAATTATTTTCCCCTTACAATTAAAGTATGCAGTTGCTACAGCCTTCTGCTTTTTTTTGTATCTTTTAGCATATTAGCCCAGATTGTCGATGCCTGTGCAGCCCAAAACAGATGTTAACTCGTCCGAAATAGAACTATAAATCTTTTGAATTATGAACAAAAATGTGCCATTGGAAATCCATAGCTACATGGTTGGAGGTTGTGATAATTTTTTGTGGAAAATGAGTATTGAGTTGAGGTCTTGCAGAATAGGAGGCACTGTTCTGTATAAAGTAAATGTACCAAATCTGACAAAGTAGGTGTAGCAAGCCTGACAGGGCTGTCTGTTTTGTCTGCTAATCTAATCTTTATGCACCTCATTATTTCTGTTAATTATTTAGTACAATTTTTTTTTTCAGTAGATGTTCACCTGTGGTGCTTTTACAAGAGGTAAACAGCTGCTGAACTACTTCTTCAAGATAGTCTCTAAATCAGACTATAGATGATATGATTTTCTTTCCTTCCACCACTGGTGGAAGGAAAGAAAATCGCTCAATGCCTCCCGCAGAGCTATTGTGTTATGTTAGCAGGGATACTTGCTTGCTGGTAGAACACAATAATTACTGTCGTGAGCTATTATCCGCTAACAGTGATCACATGCAAAAAAATCTGACAGGCTGATTGTACTGAAGTCGATCAATGGATTGACTTTAGCTCAACTAGCTTGCCCATAGATGTATCGAAGGTCTGCCGGTCCCTGCTAAACTGGCTTAGAGTTGATCCATCTATGGCCGGCTTAAGGCTAGACACACACTAAAGCTGGCCGTATATGAAATAAAATTCAGCAGGGACCGGCCAAATTGTGATTCATGTGTGGTCACTGTGTTTGAACGGAAGTTGATCTACTGATTTTAGTGTGTATAGTAACAGTGCTGCGCTACACAATCATGATTAAACTATTATTATACAGTATTTATAAAGTGCCAATAGTTCACTCAGCACTGTACATTACAAAGGGGGACAGAACATGTGACAGAACAGTACCAATACAATGCAAAACATGAGGGGATTGAGGGTAATGCTCTTTCGAGCTTACAATCTATAACTAAAGTTAATAGTAAAAATATATATCAATTCATAAGCCAAAGTATATATAAATCAATTTAGAATAAAAAAAAATCCCTTTCTACAAAAAATTAGCATAAAAATATAAAACATAAATAATATAAATAGATATTTAAAAAAAGTCCAAAAAATAATAATTACAATAATAACAATAATGCAGAGAATGAGAAATGATTGCTTTTACAGCCATTATGGGTGTAAAAGCAATCAGTGTAAAAAAAATAAAAACTCTTCATCACCCCCCCACAGGTAGTACAGTGTCACCAGGGTGACACTGTACTGCTAGGGTGACAGTATGTAGAAAAAAAACCATAAATAATAATATAAAAAAAATAAAAATGTAAAAGAAAATGTTTAAAAAATTATAATTTTGGGTTATAAAATTAATTTGTGTTATTTTTTTTTTTTACTAAACAGATAACTGAATAAATTTTGGCCAAGATTTATGATGAAATATTATTTATTTGCAAAATTTTAAAAGAAAAACACTTTTTTTCAAAATGTTTGGACCTTTTTCATTTATATAGCAAAAAAAAATAAAAATCCCAGCGGTGAATAAATACCACCAAAATAAAGCTTTATCTGTCTTAAAAAAAATGCCAAAAAATTCATATGGGTATAGTGTTGCATGACCGCGCAATTGTCATCCAAAGTGTGATAGCTCTGTCCGGACTGGACGTGGTTAATGTCCTCACATTTTCTGATTCAAAATGGCATCGATAAAAACATATGCCTTTTCTGTGTGTGTTTTATTTTTCTTAATATCTGCAGGCTGTCTTGTCTATTTTTTTTTCTGTACAGTATACTGATTTGTAGTTACTTGATTTCTCTTGTTTTTACAGCATCAAGAATTTAGCTTCCTCTTGAAGGAAAGAGTGTGCCCTCTTGTGATCAAGCTGTTTTCTCCAAATATCAAGTTCCGTCAAGGCTCTACTAGTAATTCTTCACCTGCACCAGTTGAAAAACCTTATTTTCCTATTTGTATGAGACTGCTTCGAGTTGTTTCGGTCCTCATCAAACATTTTTATGGCCTTCTGGTAAGCTAACGTTTTTGCTGTAATTGTTGCTGTTCTGAACATAATTTATTGCCGTTTTGGCATACTAAAAATGCATATAATAAATAATACTAACAAATGAAGTATGTAGTGGTATTGATATGCGTGTAGCTTAAGGAGAGTTTTCATAGATGTAAAATAGGAATTCTTAGATGGGTCAGGTTAATTTCACCTACAGGAGAAATAGACACTGGCAACAAAAGAAAAATAGGTCAACAGGATAACCCTGTCCACAGCCATCATGTCTCAGTTTTTTGCTAGTGTCCTCTGGGGAGTGGACATGTTTTCTTCAGCTATGCTGTTAGATTTATGCCAGAAATGTTGAATTCAGGGAGTCTCCAAAGTCAGCCATTGAGTGCAGGTTTTCTCAGTTGATACTGGTGTTCTCTGTGCAACAGACCTGAATTTATGGAAGTCTCTTAGTCATTGCAGATGCTGGTAGATTAAGGCCAGATATTAAAAAGCCTGTCCAGTCAGCCAAGGAGCACAGTTTCCCTGTTCATTATCTATGCTGTTGTGAGAATGCTGCAGTCAGCAATGACTACCCTTCTGTTTTCATTTTCTATAGAACTCTGCTATGCATGTCTTGCTGGAATATCTGTCTGGTGATTCCATAGGTAGTTGTCAGTTCAGAGCTGAGGCAGCTTTTCCTGTCCCTGTCTCTGTAACTCACTATTTTTAATACCTTGCAAGATTACGTTACGTTGAGGTTTCTTAAATTTGGTAATGAGGCTGCTTATTGGTGTTTGCTACAGAAGAAACTATAACTGAATTGCCATGTGTGGGGAGTTAAAACTCTTCTTATATTCTGGACTTACCTTGTACTTTAAAGGATAAGTTCACTTTTGGGAACATGTTGCATGTTTCGCCTATTTTTGGATAGGAACATGTAACGTGTTCCTGCTCCTGCACCTGCAGCCTCCTCCCTGATCCCCCTACTAATTGTGACAGCGTGCTTGGGATTTTCTCCTGCATCCGCTGTCATAAAGTAAGAGACCGTGTAGGGCTCTGCCCACACACTTGCGTGCCATTCATTCACAGTTTCTGTGAATGAATGGACTACAAGTACCTACAACCTTTGCGGCTGAAGTTCTCAATTAACTACCAGGGCGATAGTGAGCACTCTAGGTAGTTCATTGAGCCTTCCGATCATTGTGTAACTGCCTGCCCATACAAGGTACAACCAGACAGCTACACTGACAGTCTGCAGCAGCCCTGCATTGCACCCACGAACTGCTGATCACAAGTACAATGCTTTACACATTTTTTTTACCTGCAAACAAATGTGCATTTATTATTTCTTTATCCTTTAGTACTTTTATGTTGACCACATCAGGGAGGTCTCCTCTTTAATTAATTAATCTATTTATGTATTTGCTATGGGCTGTTCAGAAAATTTTTACCATATTCATTTTCTCACCCATTTTTACTAGCTGCACAAAATTGAAGGTAGTAAACATATACAAATAACAGATCTTCAACCTTCCTGTGTCATGCTGAGTGTGGCGTTATCACGCTCCTACAGCTTCCTTTGTTCCCTCCTGCAGTTTCACAGCTGCTTATCCGTTTTGTCACCGTTTGCCACCCACCAGAGTCAGCATGGAACTGGTGTTGGCCAAGACACCCACACTGAGGCCCAATCTCCCCATTTTTCTAGCACATATAATTTTTTTTTTCTGCATTTTGCTGTGGGTGATGCCCCTACACTACCAGTTCATGTCCCTGCCCCTTAGCCTCTCATCTGCACCTTGGGTTTTCACCAAGGTACTAAACCTAGTATTAGCCTTGCAGCGCTCTTGTGGCATCCCATTTATTGGGGCACTTAGCAGACTACTTATTGAAGGAACAGCTGGTGTGAGCTCTATTGGGCAACGTGACCTTGACTATCTGCAATTTACAGCAGTTCGGTTGGAATTTGAACCTTCATTAATGGAACTAACTTATCATTTGGACATCCGGTTGGAGTACTGGGCACAGAGTGTTTTTCCAAAGGAAAAATTTCAGACTCTCCTGTATCAGATTCAAACTATCCAGCCCAGGTTTCTTTCTGTCTCAAGGACAGCTTTTGCCATCCTAACTCATGATCAATGGCTTTAATGGCATGGCTGTTAAAGCCCAGGATCCTGAGACACGGGAATCTCTTTGTTTCCTCTGATGCTAGTAGCTAGGCTATTTCCTGTAAGATCTATCAGCAAACAGAGAGCCTTCAATCCCAGAAGTTTCTTTGTAGGATGACTCCTTCCTTTCCTGTAGCTGGCTCTGGACCAACGTTTAGCTCTCCGCACTTTCAAGGGCCATATTTCTGCCTTGTCTGTCTTCTTTCTGAGACAGTTGGCCTTTCTTATTTTGATTCAGACCTTTCTACATGGAGTCTCCCATGTAACTACCCCTCTTCATTCCTTTGTGACTCCATAAGATCTGTATCTGGTTTTCTCTGCTCTTCAAAAACCACCGTGTAAAACCCTAAGAGACACACCTCTCTCTACTATCACCCCTAAGGTGGTGTTTCTTCTTACCGTCAGCTCTGCAAAGTGAGTGTCTGAACTGGTGGCGTTATCGTGCTAGGAACCTTTCCTAGTTTTGCATAGGGAGAAGGTGGTGTTGTGACCCAGTGCTTCCTTCTTGCCTCAGATAGTTCAGCCTTTCCACTTAACCAGGGAGGCTCTCCAGTTCTACTGTCCCTCTATCTGACTGCAGTTCACCAAAAGGAAATTTCTATACAATGTCAGAAGGTTTTGGGTTGTGAGTGACTCTCTCTTAGCCATTGCTCCTTCAGGAAGACAAATTTATTTTGTAATCTTTGGTGAACCCTGTAAGGGAACGTCAACTTCTCATTGCACCACCTCTATGTAACTCAGGCTGACCATAATACAAACTTCTGGTTTTAAAGTGGAATTCCAGCTTACACCTAACTAACCTTAAAACTGTCACCTCCCCTTCCTATCACCTGTGCTAACTAATCTAGGTAACAAAGATATATATGCTTACGTTCTGGTTTGGTCACGCGATCCTGCTCCCCTGTATCAGTCAGCGCGGCTGCAGGGGAGACGAGGGAGCAGCGATAACAGATGGGCCATTGAAGCCTATGGGTGATGTCACCAATTCAGGTTTTTAGTAGTTGTCGGAGTGCTCTCTGCTTTCCCCTGTAGCTGGCATGGAAAATCACAGGATAGGAGCCGCCTGAAAATAGGTAAGTATATATAGAAATTATATGCAGAAAAGAAAATAGGATTTATGTACCTCCCTGTTAAATCTTTTTCATGGAATCCATTGAGGGACATAGGTACCTCCCCTCTGTGTTAATTTTCACACTTTTGGTATTACTTTGCTACAAAACCGAGGTGTGATTGTTGTGGACTGGATTATCCTGCTGGTTAACATGTTTTTTTGTCAGTGTTCTTACCTCCTGTAGGTGGCAATATAACTTGACACTCTAAGAATTTCTGTATCACTCAATGAACTCCAAGAAAAGGATTTTAAAATGAATACAAAAATCCTATTATTAGGGGTGATTCGCTATTATACAGCCCTCAGCCTCTGAAGTTACACAGACTGTGAAGGATGCGTTCTATTGTCTGTAGCAGGCTGTTTACTAAAAGACGTCCAAAGTCATAGCTGTAAATATAAGCTGTATTAAGATTTATGTTTGAATAAGTTAATCTTATATTGGCTGAAGAGGGGCTTATTTACCTTTTAACTCAACAGCTGACCAGCTGAGGGCTCCTTGTGAATGGAAATTGAGTAGTTTTTGCTGTGCATAACATTATAATGGCAAAAGCAAACACCTCGTATATTTATAGTCTTTGAACATATCCCCCATATAAAAAATAAAAAAACCTCACATCAGTTACTCCAGCTGAATAGTGTTTTCGTAAATCTTTTTCTACTGGATAACGTGTATGCACCATCACTTGTGAAGTATATGTTTGGTGCACTCTCTGCTTGGAGAGTTGCAATACCATCCACAATAGGTCACTGCTGCATACAGGTGTTTTACTTGTGGTTTTAAAGATTCCTATTTGGTTTGACGCAATGGTCATTTTCCTTTAAATTCTGCTAAATTAACCTGTTTAAACTGAACTCTTTTAGGTGACAGAGTGTGAAATCTTTTTATCGCTGCTAGTGAAATTCCTGGATGCTGATAAACCACAGTGGCTCCGAGCTGTAGCTGTGGAGTCCATACATAGGCTTTGTGTTCAGCCTCAGCTTCTCAGGTAAATGATTTACATTCACACACTCACTTTTTTAAATATTTTTTTCTTCAAAGCAAAAATCTGTTTACTATCCGTGTAGATTGATTTAGAAAATCCAAGTGAAGTGGTTGGATCATGTTCATCCTGCGGTCTGGATTTTTATTTTAAAGAAATTTTCTAGGAGCTAGTTTTGGTTTGGTTGGGACCCCTGTCTGTAGTAATACTGTGAAGCCCAAACCTGTCATAATTTTTTTTAATGGGCAACTTTGGCATCACCGTGGCTTGTACCAGAGTCTACCCTGTGAAATGAAGTTGTTACCATGCATATTTTATGATAGCATTGCAATGCCATCTGTCACCAGCAGGTGATGGCAGTTTTAAGCCCCTAAGCTGCAGAGATTGTATCTTTTTATGTTACAACATGGGCCCTAATCAAATAGAGAAATGCAGCAAGGAAATATACTTATTTCACACCTGGAGCAGGATCAATCTGTATGCTAAATTGCTTACATATTTATACCAAAATTGTGTTTGTGTGGAACATATTTGCTTGTATTTTTTAACAATCATGCCCCATCTTAAAGGGGTATTAAAACAAAAATGTAATATATTGCAGCTTACCAATACGTAGATGTGGCTTTATTGTTGTTTTTTTTTTTCAGTATTTTTGTTTCTTTATTTCACTTGGTAATCCAGCCAGAAACACCCCTCCTATCTTATCGTGTCTGCATTCTGAGATGAAGTAGTAAAGCAGACACCTTTGGACAGCAGCATTGTCAGTCTGGGGAGAGGATAGTGTTAGATACACTAGTGGATTTAGATGAACTTGACTAACAAATTGAAGCTGAACTCCAGTTAACACTTTATGAGCAGTTACAGCAACTTTTTTTTTTCTTATGGATTTTACAAAAACAAATAAAAGCTGACCACTGCAAGCACCCCTGTCAGTGCTAAATTGCTTGTCTCAACCTTCTAAGTGCTACATTGTCTGAACAGTTGGATTTGTTAAAGTAAGTTAAAATATAACAGACATACTAGCTGGATCACCAAGTGAATATAATATAAAAAAGCCTAAAAAAATAAAACTAATGCAGCCACCACATCTAAGATTTGGTGAGCTGCAATTTATTAAATTTTTGTTTGGAGTTTAATATCGCTTTAAGGTGTAAACGCTGTTGTGCAGTATTCCATCTAACAGACTACAGTTAGTCTAGTCTGCTGTAAACACTACAGTTTTTTTTTGTTTGTTTTTTTTAGTTCTACTTTTCTCCGGAATTCCCTTCACCAGTTGTGTACAAGATACAGTAGTAAATTCTCATTCTTGCATACTGTATAAAGCCTTTAGCAATTTGCAACTTTCTTTGTCCTTCCTTTTATATTGTTTGGATATGAACTCATTTAAAACCTTTCTCTGCTTATAAACAACTACTCACACGTTTTCTTGTGTTTCTTTCTTCTTGTGAAGCTATTCTCTGCAGTCATTCAGGCATTTGCCATCCCTCCCAAGTGTTTAAAAGAGAAGTATGGTCAAACTTTTTTTGGCCAGACTTTTCTTTTGGGTCATAGGAGTGCACTCCTGTTACCCAGACTCAGCCAACCGTGGCCTAAAGCCTGCTGTCGGCTGATGTCACAGGGCTGGTCTAGGCTCTAGACCAGGGATATCAAACTGGCGGCCTTCCAGCTGTTGTGAAACTACAAGTCCCATCAAACCTCTACCTTTGGGAGTCATGCTTGTAATTGCCAATCTTGCAATGCCTCATGGGACTTGTAGTTTGGCAACATCTGGAGGGCCGCCAGTTTGACACCTGTGCTTTAAACAATGTCAGAATCCACCTAGATGCCTGACCAGCAGCTGGTTCAGCCTATCAGCATGCCTCTGAGAGACTGAGGCAGCCTCTCCTTCCCCCTCCACAGTCCAGCATTCCAGTGAGTGCTGGAGGGCAGAGCAGAGAGCCAGTGACTGACAGCCACTGCTCTCTGTTCAGAGTGGAGGGCAGAACTGAGTGATCTGTGTTCATGTGATCACTCAGTTCTTGGTCTTAGAGCTAGAAGGGAACAGCTGCAGCAGTATATGTGAGCATGTATGTTTATTTTGATTATTTCCCACACTTCTCCCCCAAATCCATGCATAGAACATGACTTTTCTGAAAGGCTTGGAACTTCAATATACAACACCTGATATATTTAATGCTTCAAATCTATTGCTTTAAAATCTCCATTTATTTTAAATTGCAGGCACTTTGGCAGAGTTCTCATAGTATTTCATGCATTTGTGTGTTTTACATTGGTATTGTTAAAGTGGACTTTTAGTCAGAAAATTAGGTCTTTCTAGATCTCTTCATGCTGGCCCCTTTTGCAGGTGTAGCTATGTAAAACATTAGAAATAAGTGCCTATACTGTGTAAAATCCAGTAATACACTGTCTCACCCTGTTCTGCACATGCTTAGTTGCTCTCTTTTTTGGCTCGGTGCTGAAAATCAGAGCTGCTAGAGGCCAATCTTCTAACAGCATAAAGATTTAATGTTGCTCAGATCTCTGGGCTTCAGCAAAATAGGAGTCTCCAGCAAGAAGAAACAGGAACAATGTTGGTGGAAATGTACAGCACACACTAATCTTGGTAGCATAATTGTTAATGTGGAACGTGCGTTCCATGCTAAAGAACATTATTTTTTATCAAGTGGATATAGGTAAAGTTCCGCTTTAATGCCCTTGTATGTTCCGAACAGTGTTTCTGAAGATACTAGTTTTATATCAATCCAGAAATAATAACAAGAATACTTTACCACACTCAGGTCGTTCTGCCAGTCCTATGACATGAAGCAACACTCCACTAAAGTTTTTCGGGATATTGTCAATGCTCTGGGATCCTTTATTCAGTCACTCTTCCTTATTCCGAGTACTGGAAATCCATCCAACACAGCAAACCCAAATGGTATTTGTTTCCTTCTTGTGTAATGTTTCTATACTTTTGTTTGTTTTGGTTAAAACTAAAGAACTGATCTAATGGAATATTTTTGAAAATTAAAATAGCTTTTCTGTTTTCTAATCAGTTAGCATCTTAGACTGAACATCATTTCATAGTCATATGTATCTCTTTTTCCAAGCAATGAGAAGGGGCAGATATGCAGTTCATTATCTGGCAGCCTAGAAGCAATTGTGTCTCTGTCTACCCCTCCTTTACATAATGCAGAGTGGCAGAAAATGTTATGACTCTTCTATTGAATTTTAGAAGCTGTTGTTTTCCCTGGTCCATACGTCATCAGCAGTGACAACTTTGGCAGGAGGAATGCCTTGTTTTAGGGCTAAATTTCTAGTCTCTGTGTTTAGATGGCAGATTGAGGCATGGGAACAACCCACATTTGTTCTAGTGTTCCTAAATTCCTTATGTTTACCTATTTAGATACAAGCAATGCAAAGTGCATTTTTACAGTTCATAGATATAGTATGTAGCTTAGTTTGATGATTAGAATTCATTTGGCTCAGTGGTATATTTTACTTATACTTGTCTTTTTGTGTTCTTCTTAATGATAGCTGGTTCCAGCTCCAGTGGTCCTGCTACTAATCAAAACACTTCAGGGATGGTAGCAGCTGCTGGCAATGCAAGTGTACTTCCTGCCTTTGAGTACAGAGGTACCTGGATCCCTATAATGACCATTTCCGTTCAAGGCAGCGCAAAGGCAACTTAGTAAGTTCACACAATTAACAGATGGCTTTAGCCAGTCAATATCTTTGAAATATATTTTTGATTGGAAAAGGGCAGTTCAGGGCATTTTAATAATATTTTTCCACATTTAGCTTTAATGAAAAATACAGTTTTTAGATGAAACCTGCCGATTTGATCAACACTTCAGGCGCAATCTTTTTCATGTCTCTGGATCCCCAATGACAAATCCTATTGGTTTTATATTCATCACCCTGACATTGCTATTAATCTTTGCTATAAATCCTAATTAGTCCTAGTTTAGTTCCCTGTTTTGAGCATGCAGCCACAGTTTAAATGACGGTAATGTCATAAGTGGAGGATAGCACTTTGCTTCCAACCAGTAAACTTTATTGCTTAATCTACAAAAAAACGTAATATGTTTTTCATTGTACTGAGTTTTCAGTGTGTTTACAGATATTTAAAATTAATGTTTGATGTACAGGTACTTTGAATTATAAATATGCATTACATTTTACATTAAAAAAACATAAACTAATCCTCTTATTCTTTTTAGTCTTGAAATGCTGGATAAGGTAGAGCCACCTACCATCCCAGAGGGATATGCCATGTCAGTGGCATTTCACTGCCTGTTAGATCTTGTGCGGGGCATCACCACCATGATTGAAGGAGAAATCGGCCAGGCTGAAACAGATTCCCAGATTTCAGCGGAAGAGACTCCATCACAAACTAGTGATCAAAAAGACCTAAGAACTGTGTCTGACCCACAGGAGCAAGAACCAGGTTACTAAATAATGTTTTGTTTTTTATAGGACTATTGCATTACTTGTGTATCCTTCAACTTTACTGATAGGCTAATTTACTTGTACCAAATTGTATTGTAACTGTAATGTCTACCTTCGTTTTGTAAAGCTCTGTGCAAACTGTTGGCACTATATAAATCATGTATAATAATAATAATAGAGAGTGGATATCATTATGGACCACTTTTCTGGGCCCAGTCATAAAATGTAAGCCACAATGTAGACTGTAGAGCCTGCGTTACTGTTCGAGGTTCTCTCTGCAAAACTCAATGGCGAGAACTCCTTGATTGGTCAAGAGCCGGACACTTTGTTAGAAGTTTGTTTTTGTCTATAGGTAGACTTCCCTGTTAGACCACATGATTTTTTTTTGCCTCAGCCTCTAAAGGGAAGACTTCTTTGTTAGGCTACATGTTTTTTTGCCTCAAACATTTAAGGGGACACATCCCTATAAGACTGCATTTTTTTTTTATCACTTCAGTTTCTAGGGGAAGAGTCCCCTATAAGGCCGCAGGCATTCCAAACAGTGGGGAACTTGTAGACATCTATTTTACCCGTCTCCCGCCTGCCATATAGTAATATGACGGACGCAAGGTGGTTCTCTCGTTCATATGACGTCCTCCCATTCTAACCACGCATGCGCAGCTCCTGGAGCATGCAGCACGGCGATCGGCGGTGCAGCGGATCACCGATCCACGGAAAGAGCCGAAGATGTCGGCTCGGTCATGTGATCAGCGGTGTCCAATCACAGCTGATCACATGTAAACAGGGAAATGCTGGTTATCAGCATTTTTCTCTCCCCACGAGCTGTCACGCTGACAGCTCGTGAGGAGAGGAGAGCTGGTAATCGGCATTCCTCGGAGGGGACATGTACACAGATCATCAGAGCACTGATGATCAGTGTGCCCTGATGATCTGTGTAGCCCCAGCAGCGCCACCTGTCAGTGTCCATCAGTGCCAGCTCTCAGTGCTCATCCATGCCACCTGCCAGTGCCACATCAATGCCACATATCAGTGCCCATCTGAGTTGCCTTTCTGTGTCACCTATTAATGCCAGTCAGTGCTGCCTATCAGTTCAGTGCCCGTCAGTGCCGCCTATCAGTGCCAGACAGTGTCGCCTAACAGTGCCGCCTATCAGTGCGGCCTATCAGTGCCATTTATGAGTGCTGCCTTTCAGTGCCCATCAGTGATGCTTGTCAATGCCCGTCAGTGCCACCTACCAGTGCCTCCTCATCAGTGTCCATCAGTGCAGCCTATCAGTGCCCATCACTGCAGCCTCATTAGCGCACATCAGTGAAGGAGAAAAATCACTTATTTACAAAATTGTATAACAAAAACTAAGAAACTTTTTTTTCCCAAAATTTTCAGTGGTTTTTGGTTTGTTTAAGAAAAAATAAAAAACCCAGAGGTGAATAAATACCACCAAAATAAAGCTCTATCTTTCTCAAAAAAATGATAAAAATTTCATATGGGTACAGTGTTGCATGACTGCGCAATTGTCATTCAAAGTGCAACAGCGCTGAAAGCTGGAAATTGGCCTGGGCAGGTAGGGGGTATAAATGCCCTGTAGGCTAGTGGTTAAGCTTGTGTACTTAGAACAAAAAAAAGATAATGAGGTGACGTAGAAGATCTATAGTACTATAAATCTTTTTTTTTTTTTATAGTATTGGGTATTTTCAAATCTGTTAGTATAATCATCTTTATTATCATTCTTCTTTAGTTGGTAGAACTGTTTGGGAAGAAATGATCAATGCCTGCTGGTGTGGCCTTCTCGCTGCTCTCTCACTGCTTCTTGATGCAAGGTAAGTTGTAAAACTATGCCCCATCACAAGTTTTCTACTATCAGATTAAAAACATAAATGACAAAGTAGTGACATGTAATTGCAGGGTGAAGGCTATTGTCTTGTATTGCAGATGAAATCTGATATAGACTTCACAGCATAAGATTAACAGTGCTGGACCTTGTGCTGTAAAATGATAGAAGACACAGGCATGTTAGTAAATAAAAAAAAAAAAATAATCAACAACACTGGGACCCATAATGTTTTTACTGTATTAGTAAATGTGAGCTTATAGCAGAACTGAAGCTTTACAGTAAACTCAACTGTGAGTAGAAAACACATTTTTAAATAAAAATGCTAGGTATTTCAATAAAAAAAAAAACAAAAAAAAAAACAATGCACTGTGTCCTAATTTGTTGTAACACTCTCCTACTGCTATGTGGCCTATCTTCCATTATAGTTTTCTGCTAGTATTCAGTTCCCCCTGACTTGTATAAAAAATGTATTCTCCAGAAATATTTTAATGTATACAAGTTTGACATTAAATTTAGCCGTGTTTCCATTCTATTACTTTTTATTGTAATATATTTTCCCATCTTAAACTATTCTTGATCCAAGGATATTTTCATTGTTTTTCCTGTGATTGGCGGAATTACAGGGAAAAAGAGGACTACCAGTTTGCTGCCCTTAGCTGGAAGGCTATAATCTCTGTAGGATAAAGAAGCCATGAACAATATACAATTAAAAAGGTATTAACTTGTCAGCTTTACCTTCCCTAAATTTGATTTTTTTTTTTTTGATTTTTTTTTTTGTCTGCTTGGAGTCCTGCTTAAATGCAAAAAAAAATGTCAAAGCATGTCTATTGTGTTTAACCTATTGCAGGCATTAAGCATGCTGCGTATGCCTTTAAAAATTGAATTGAAGTACACAGGCGTACATAGCACACCCTCTCCCTCTCCCCGCCTGTTCTCAATCACTGCCTGTACTGGCAATCCCTGGCTGTCAAAATGACATCTGGGACATGCCTAGAGATACAGCAGCTAGAATTAGCTGGACTAAGTAATTAACTTTACCCACTGATAAGAGAAATGGATGTTCCCTCTATGTTTCCCATGATAAGCTCAAATATTTAGGTATAATTTTACAGTTTATTCTGTCTACATATATAGATAATAACTTGACACCAGTTGTTCAAATATTCAAAATTTGTAATGAAATAAAGATCTCCTCTTGACTTTTTTGGGCCAAATAAACCTCCTTAAAATGATCTTTTTGTTATGTACTCTCAAACACTTCAATTTACGTTATCAAACAGATTTTCCAATCCATTAATTCTCCAACCATTGCCTTCCTATGGGTAGCTTCTGCACTGTGAATTTCACTTGAAAACCTGCAACTACCAACTACCAAGGGTCCTAGGACTAGCACTGCCAGATTTAAGGATAGATTAGCATCCCAACTGATATATCCATAATTGTGATGCTTCCATGACAACAACGGCAGCTAATTTGTTACTTCTTACAAAGTCTTCATAAACTCTTTCAGTTGGATGAATATTCTCGCACAGAGAGGAGGAAGGTTTTTCAGTCACCCAAAAATATTTTTATATGCGTTCAATCTGATCTCAGGCACCCCATTGAAGTGATGAAAAGTGTAATCCCAGTACTTATTTATGGTTTAATTCTTACTTGGAGGATGTTTCTAACTTGACAGACAGGTTTAGATGGGTCAAATGTGGAATAAAATATGCATATTAGTTATACAGTATACTAAGAACACCTTTAAATCTTTTGAGGAATTGGGAAAGCAGAATGAGATTCCTGGTGTTATAGATATACACAAATTAAACATGCAGCTGCAGAACAATTTGGTCTACAGGAAGTCACTTTGACTACTAATAAGCTTGAATCTCTTTCAGATCCTTGGAACAGATTAAATGAATAGATATTGTGTTTCCTTAACTCACATCAGGGCCAACATTTTTCATCACAGATGAGACAGATGCCATACTGTTATACCTAAGCTTTATGAGGAGGCTGGGACAGAAGTTCTAACTACTTATTTGGATACTGTCGTATCCTCCAAAGATAAAATGATACAAATAAGATATACTCTATGTTGCCAAAAGTATTGAGATGCCTGCCTTGACATGCACATATTGAGTTGGCCAACCCTTTGCAGCTATAACAGCTTGAACTCATCTGGGAAGGCTGTCCACAAGGTTTAGGAGTGTGTCTATGGAAATGTTTGATCATTCTTCCAGAAGTGCATTGGTGATGTCGGATGAGAAGGCCTGACTAGCAGTGTCGGCTGTAATTCACCCCAAAGTTTTTCTGTCAGGTTAAGGTCAGGACTGGCCAGGTGCAGGCCAGTCAAGTTCCTCCACCCCAAACTCGCTCATCCGTGTCTTTATGGACCTTGCTTTGTGCACTGGTGCGCATTCATGTTGGAACAGGAAGGGGCCATCCCCAAACTGTTCCCACAAAGTTGGGATCATGAAATTGTCCAAAATGTCTTGGTATGCTAACGCCTTAAGAGTTCCATTCACTGGAACTAAGGGGCCAACCCAACCCCTGAAAACTCCCATAACCCCCCAACCCTCCCCCCCCACCTAACTTTACACTTGTACAATGCAGTCAGGCAAGTACCGTTCTCCTGGCATCCACCAAACCCAGACATGTCCACCAGATTGCCAGACAGAGAAGCATGATTCGTCGTCACTCCAGAGAACAAGTCTCCATGGCTCTAGAGTCCAGTGGCGGCGTGCTTTACAACACTTCATCTGACACTTTGCATTGCACTTGGTGATGTAAGGCTTGCATGCAGCTGCTTGACCTTGGAAACCCATTCAATGAAGCTCTCTACACACTGTTGTTGTGCTAATATGAAGGCCACATGAAGTTTGGAGGTCATTCACTATTGACTCTTGCTACCTGCTACTTCTGCGCACTGTGCGCTTCAGCATACGCTGACCCCGCTCTTTCATTTTGTGACTGAGTTGCTGTTGTTCCCAGTTGCTTCCACTTTGTTATAATATCACTAACAGTTGACTGTGGAATATTTAGTAGCCAGGAAATTTCATGGAGGGACTTATTGCACAGGTGGCAACGTATCACGTTACCACGCTTGAATTCACTGAGCTCCTGAGAGTGACCCAGTCTTTCACAATGTTGTAGAAGGCAGTTTGCATGCCTTGGCGCTTTATTTTATACATCTGTGACCATGAAGGTGATTGGAACACCTGAATCCAATGATTCGGAGGGGTGTCCCAATACTTTTGGCAATATAGTTTATCTCCCCTAAGCACAATATACTACTATCTGACTATATAAGATAAGGAAGAGGGATAATCTGATCTTTTGTAAATGCCAGATAACTGAAGCTACCTTCTCCCATATGGTTTAGTCTTATGGAAAGATTAAGCCCTTTTGGTCAAAAGGTACGGATTTCATCACAGATAGCTTTAGGTTTCCAAATGTTTGCAACCCAGTATCTTGCTTATTGGACATTATTGAAGACAGTAGTTATGGACAGGTTCACAAGCAATCCATAGACCGCTTTAGAATTATGCATGAAAAATGATTGTGATGAAATGGATATACACAGATCCTATCAGCCTTAAAGACTTTAAAAAAAAAGTAGTTAACAATGTCATACCAGTATGTAGGCAGTCCCAGGTTATGAACAAGATAGGCTCTGTAGGTTTGTTCTTAAATTGAATTTGTATGTAAGTTGGAACAGGTAAATTATTTTTAAGTTTTGGATCACATAGGGAAAAGTTTACTGGCCATGCAGTGATGTGGGATTGCTGACAGGTCCACCAGACAATAGGTGGCAGCATACAGTGAGCAGCAAGATGGCTACCATGTGGTTTCCAGGACCAGTGTGACATCACTGCCTCGTTCTTAAGTACAAGTCATATGTTTGTAACTTGGGGGCTGCCTGTATATACTGACTTGTATAGCTGGAGAATGTCCCAGAAATGTTGAAAACATAAGGTTTTGATGGGTACAGTCAAAGGATACAATAAAAGTCTTGCATGAAGTAAGAGTTATTAATAATTAACATGGTTCAGGATTTTAGACTGTTTGTAAAGTATTTATTTAAGAAGAAGAAAAAACAGTACAGTCAAAATAAGCTGGCGGAATAGAAACAGAAAGTTGAACACGCAGATATAACTTATGGTTATGTTTATTTCCATAGTGCTAACTTAATTTCTTTCTTTGTTGCTTATTATATTCAAGTTAAAACCTACTGACTTTCTTCGTTATCCATCTGAGGTACCATTTAGCCACTTTAGCTGTGGAAGGTTTTACCCCCTTTCTGACCAGAGCATTTTTTGCTATTAAGCACTGTGCTACTTTAACTGGCAATTATGTGGCCATGCAACACTGTATGCAAATGACTTTTTTTATCATTTTTTTTCTGCACAAATACAGCTTTCTTTTGATGGTGTTTGATCACCGCTGGGTTTTTTATTTTTTTATTATACAAACAAAAAAAAGACTGAGCATTTTGAAAAAAAAAAACAAAAAACAATATTTTCTACTTTCTGTTATAAAACATATCCAATTAAAAAATCTAATTTCTTCATAAATTTAGACCAAAATGTATTCTGCTACACGTCTTTGGTAAAAAAAAAACCCAAATCCCATTAAATGTATATTACCTGGTTTGTCTACAAACTATTGTATATATACTGGAAGCTGTGGCACTATACCATAATGGCAGTGATCAGCGACTTATAGTGTGACTTTGTTCGGGTGAAGAGACACTATCTGGAAGGGTTGTACACTGACATCAATTAATACAGTGATCAGTGATAATACTGTACACTGACACTGTACTAATGACACTGGCTGGGAAGGGGTTAACATCTAGGGCCAATCAAGGCGTTTACTGTGTGCCTAACAATGTGTAATGTGTGTAATATATGTCACTTTTACTTTACCGTCTGTCTGTTTTTCTCCCAACTTTGCAGGGAGAAGAAACAGGCAGATCGCTGTTTCCTGTACGCAGAG